AGCTCTGGGGGACACACATAAATTATCTGGAACTCCTCGCGGTCTTTCTAGCCCCGAGGCGCTTCCTGCCTTTTCTCTCCGGCCATCATGTCCTAGTGAGAACAGACAACACCATGACTGTGGCATATATAAACCACCAGGGGGGGCTGCGCTCCATGCGGTTATACACGCTGGCACGCAGACTGATCCTATGGGGCAGCAGGCATCTCCTCTCAATCAGAGCCACCCATGTCCCGGGTGTTCTGAATCGGGGGGCGTTTCTGTTGTCCAGAGGGACACCCCTGTACGGGGATTGGAGCCTGCATCCAGCAGTGTTGGAACAGATTTGGATCCGGTTCGGCACAGCCGTAGTGGATCTTTTTGCCTCCAAGGAGAATGCTCACTGTCCTCTGCGCGACCGAGACACTCCACTCGGCATGGACGCGCTGGCGCACGACTGGCCACGGGGACTGCTTTACGCTTTTCCCCCAGTGGCCCTGATACCACCCACCTTGCTGAGGGTACGAACCCAGCTCCACACTCTCATTCTGGTGGCCCCCTACTGGCCAGCCATGCATTGGGTGGCGGACATTTTCCAACTCCTGGAGGGCCAACCTGGGAAACTTCCGCTTCACAGGGACCTGATGTCCCAAGCGGGAGGCTCGATCTTCCACCCTCATCCAGAACGGCTGGCCCTGTGGGCCTGGCCCCTGAGGGGTGCGGGCTAGTGTCAGCAGAGCTGCCCCAGGCAGTCATTCAAACCATTCAGAATGCTAGGGCCCCCTCCACTAGGTCCCTATATGACTGTAAATGGAGGGTGTTTGAAGCCTGGTGTCAGGGCAGGGAGGTCTCACCCTTCCAATGCCCGGTGAACGTCATTCTGTCTTTCCTGCAAGACTTGTTGGATGGGAAGAAGGCTTTCTCCACCATTAAAGTGTACCTAGCAGCCATTTCCGCCCGACACTTGGGTTTTGGGAAGAAACTGGCAGGTCAACACCCCCTGGTGTGTAGCTTCATGAGGGGCGCGCGCAGGCTTCTCCCTGTGTCTCGACCCCTGGTGCCCTCATGGGATCTGTCCTTGGTGCTGTCGGCCCTCTCCGGGCCTCCATTTGAACCTATGGACGGCCTGGACCTTAAGATCCTGTCTCTTAAGGTGGTGCTACTCCTGGCTTTGGTATCTGCAAAGCGAGTTAGTGACTTACAGGCTCTCTCTGTGCACCCATCCTGCACCCAGTTTGCACCCGGTGACATGAAGGTGTCCCTGAAGCCCAACCCTGCCTTTGTGCCTAAGGTGGTGGGCTCCTTTTCTCCTATTATCCTCACAGCTTTCTACCCGCCACCCTTCTCCTCTCCTGAGGAGGAGCGGTGGCACAAGCTGTGTCCGATTCGCGTGCTCAAGGAGTATGTGAATCGGACGGAGAACCTTCGCAGGGGGGACCAGCTTTTTGTGTCATGGGGTGGGCCTCGTAAGGGGAAACCCGTCACAAAGCAGAGGCTTTCCCACTGAATTGTGGAGGCTATTTCTATGGCTTACTCCTGTCAGGGCATTCAGGCTCCTGTTGGGCTCAGGGCCCATTCTACTAGGGGCCTGTCTGCTTCTTGGGCCCTTTTTCGGGGGCTGTCAATCCAGGAGATTTGTGCTGCAGCAAGTTGGGCTTCTCCACTTGCATTTGCACGCTTCTATCAGCTTGATGTTTCGGTCCCTGCAATGACTCACACGATTCTGAGTGTGGGGTCTTTGGCGGGCCAAGACGTATCCCTGTAGGTTGGTGATCGCTGGATAAGCTGTCTGGCAATACGGGAGTCTCCATATCCCATAGTGAGACATCGAAACGAATGTTAAGAAAGAGAACTTTAGGTTACTGTCGTAACCCCGGTTCTCTGAGTAACATGAGTGAGATGTCTCACCAGACAACCCTTCTTGCTGGGCGAAGCGAGAAGAGGTGTTTATCTTGAATAGTGCGTACGTTGGGACGCTTGCTACTTATAGTAGCAGGGGGACGCGTACGTCACGGTCACTGGCCAATCAGGATTGGCGTATTGAGATAAGTGCTTCTGAGGAATCCGCGGAGGGGCGTATCCCATAGTGAGACATCTCACTCATGTTACTCAGAGAACCGGGGTTACGACAGTAACCTAAAGTTTTTATTTGAAATAAACCTCAGAAGACACAAGTACTTCATGTTACTTTAGTTTTCTATTCCAGCCATATTAACTAAGACAAGTGTGTTATACAACTGTTATAGGGCCTAGCAGTTTATCATTGCTGAAACAGCTGCTGCTATTGCTGTCTGGCAGGCCAGGCTAAAAGACATGATTTTACACAGCACGCTGGCATTCTGACGCAGGAGTGAAGCACATCTCACCATGGTGTGTGGTTCCTCCTTCAATTCTTTTTTTCTAGGAGAACTCGTGAAAGGATTTCTGAAGGAGACCGCAGAGTTCCGAGCACCGATCGATCCGGTCTGGTCTACCCTGACCCGGTCCCTGAATGACGGCAGAATGATGCTTGTGGCGAGGCGAGTTAATGGAGTCTGGATCGGGGAGGGCAGCAACAGAGACCGGGTAGAAAACTCATCAGCAGGGATTTTCTTAAAGCATCTAAACTACAACGATAATGGACTTTATGAGTTTCCCGGACCTGCTGATAAGCTCATCCAACTGGATGTTTTCCCGGTTTTCAACAACGTTTCTGTGTCTGAGAGTGAGACTGCAAAGCTGCCGTGTTACTTTGTGACACAAGACCAGATTTAAGTTTCATAGTAAGTTAAGTCTCACAATGTTTCTCATGCCCTACAGAACAGCACTGGACCACAGTCAAACATGTGTTGAGATATCTCAAAGGCACACAAGATAAGCGGTTATGTTACCAGAAATGTGAAGGCGAAAAACTAGGACTACAAGCTTGACACAGATTGGGCTTCAGATGTTAAAGACCGCAAGAGTATGAAGGGATATTGCATCAGCCTATCAGAAAAGGACCACTCATATCCTGGAAAACCAAAAAGCAGTCTACAGTTGCTGTGAAGCAGAGTGCATGTCTCTAGCAGCCACCAATCAGGAATGTTTATACTTGATGCAGCTTCTTGAGCACATGGACAATTATGAATATGGACAAACAAAAATAAATGAGGACAACCAAAGTGCTAAAGCTTTATCTAAAAATCCTGTAAAACGACAGAGGTGTAAACATGTTGACATTAAATATCATTTCATAAGATCAACATTGAAAGAAGGAATAATGGATTTACCGACAGAAGACATGATTGCAGATGTAATGACCAAACCTACAACTGTGTGTAAACTGAACAAGTACAAACTGTTATTTGGAATATGAAGTTCAATAATTAATGAAAAATGCAAACTACAGAGCAAGTGGGGGTGTTAAGTGTGGCAAGTAAGACATGGCGCTATAAATAATTTAATGATAAAAAGAGCTAAAACAACACCACCCTGGTTTCAGCTTCCCTCCAGGGAAAGGTAAAAGGCCCGTAGGTTAAAATGATCACTCTGTGCACAAATGGTAACATTCAAATACACACTTCTTTATTAAAAGTCTAGTCTAAAAACCATATTGGTGGAAGCCAAGGGCTCAGAGTTCGCTGGCGGTTGCCCCGGCAACCAGGACTCCAACACCCAACCACTAATTAACACCAGTCCTGTATGCAAAACAAATCCATATGGACAGAACAGCTGTGAGGAGACTTCTGGGCCCACAACTATGGCGCGGTATGGGGGCCAAAATTAAGCCTACTGCCCAGCAGCAGGAGGCTATATAAGTTCTGAAGCAAACTACCGACCTGATTAATGATAAGCTGGCGCCGGTAACTGAGAGGCTGGCGCTGCTTACTGAGGAGTAGCACCTTTACCGGCGATACTACTAGATACGCTAGGGACTAGCAGCCCTCGGCTGGTCATTGACTGGTTCACACACTCCCTCTGCTGTCTATTAGCATGGATAGGCTAGCGTTAGCCTGGACGGGCTGGTGCTAGCATTGGAGAGGCTAGCCATTAGCGTGCCTAGGCTGGCCACTAGCTGGATTTCCTACCTCCTCGATGGACCATTAGCATGGATAGGCTGGCGTTTGCATCGGAGAGGCTAGCCATTAGCATGTCTCGGAGAGTCACTTACTCTACTAGATGCATTTTTTTTACATTTGTTAAACGGATGACATACTATGACCTACAATCACAGTTGTTCCTTTGACAGAACGCGTTGTTATACACTTTAACTTTAAGCATACTGTAAAGCCGACAGCCTGTTAGCATTTATTAGGTGCTGCGTTAACTCCATTTTGCTCTTAATTACAGGTTGATGGTGTTTTCTTTTTATATAGTTTGGTTTTCTTGCACATATCAGAGAAAAAGCCAGAGCTAACTAGTTAGTACTTTTCATCTTTGGATTTTAAATCCTTTGTATTGAATTACAGGTTAATGATTATTTAAATTGTGATGTTATCTTTATTAAAACTATATAATATGTACAAAAAAACCACACATCTAATAGAGTAAGTGACTCTCCGAGACATGCTAATGGCTAGCCTCTCCGAAGCTAACGCCAGCCTATCCATGCTAAAGGCCCATCGAGGGGGTAGGAAATCCAGCTAGTGGCCAGCCTAGGCATGCTAATGGCTAGCCTCTCCGAAGCTAACGCCAGCCTATCCATGCTAAAGGTCCATCGAGGGGGTAAGAAATCCAGCTAGTGGCCAGCCTAGGCATGCTAATGGCTAGCCTCTCCAATGCTAGCACCAGCCCGTCCAGGCTAACGCTAGCCTATCCATGCTAATAGACAGCAGAGGGAGTGTTTGAACCAGTCAATGACCAGCCGAGGGCTGCTAGTCCCTAGCGTATCTAGTAGTAACGCCGGTAAAGGTGCTATTCCTCAGTCAGCAGCGCCAGCCTCTCAGTTACTGGCGCCAGCTTATCATTAATCAGATCGGTAGTTTGCTTCGGAATTTATATAGCCTCCTGCTGCTGGGCAGTAGCCTTAATTTTGACCCCCATACCGCGCCATACACAACCGGCACTGGAGATGAGATTGGTCGCGGCGGAATGGCAAGATGGAGCAGCAGGAGGGCCAGTGCACCACCGACGCCGTCAAACGCTCTGCTACTCTGGATGGCACCGCTGCAGGCGAAGCTGAAAGGAATAGCGGCTCTCGGCACACAGACAGGAAGTCACACTGCAAACAAACAAACTGCATGGTCCCCCTGGATCAGTACGACCCTCCCCAATCAGAGGCAAAAGACTTACAGTCGTAGCACGGCTGAGTCAAATCAGCCTCAATACGGCTGCCACACACACACGGGCCGAGATCTGGTTAGGAGTATCTGGGTGCAGTTTAACGCTGTAGCAGCAGATGCAGCTCCGGTCTGCGATCACATGGTACCAAACACGTTAAGATAGAGCAACAAGCATTAGCTAAGGCCACACAGGAGGGAGAGTACTTACAATCGCTGCTTGCAGTTGGGGTTTCTCATTACCCCAGCACCTGAAGTGCCATACCAAAGCTGTCCTGCTGAAAGAGCAGGCAGCTGCCTTTTATTAGATGACTCACCCCACCCTGCAATCACTCTAATGTGAGCCACCTGGCTCTTTACTGGGAGGGGACCAGATGAGATCTGTCTGTCCCATCACATAAGCATCAGTAAAATATGCCCTGTTGTATGTTGCATGTGTGTATGTATATATCTGTGAATAAGAATGAGTATAAATACGCTTTTATTGTGAAAAGGACAAAAGAGGAAGTAAAGATGACATCCTAATAAGATAACCAATGAAGGACATGTATGTTGACCTCTAACCTCATGATGCACCAATAAAACGGGAGCATTGGTGTCCGCAAAGTTGCTAGCGCCAGTGAAGCCCATTTAAACAAGAAGCTCTGTATCTATTGTTTATTTCCTACCTGTGAATCTGGGACTCCGCTTGGGATATTTGGACCGACCGCTGCGTACAACGACACTCTGCTAACAGGGGGCGTTCCTGTTTACAAACAAAATTGCCCCTTTTAGCCGTTTCCCGAATAGTTGGGAACGGAAGATAACTTCAGCCTCGTGGACAAGAGGAAGGAACTGAAAAAGAAGACCGTTAGCAACGTTAGTTTATTGTTGTTTAGCCTTGTGAGGTGAATATTAAACATGTATTCAGGAGAGTCTCTGATGGAGTTTGTCACCAAGCAAGTAGCTACTGCTAGAGAAAAAATAAAAAAGGTTGAAGAAGCCATGGCCCAGTTCGAGGAAGGGCTCGGTGGCCAGCGCAGACTGTCGGATATGAGCTGGAAACCACAGAGCAGCTCGCACACAGCAGGTAAGAAACACCAGCGGGTACTGAGGGGAAGAGCTTTAGGATTAGCATAAATTACGTGATTATTGTGGCAGAAAAGGACCAGTTTTAGCCATTTATGGTTGTAAATAACCCAGATTATTTGTTTATTTTGGTATTGTTTAGATACTAATATCCATGAGTAATTCATGTTTTTGGGTTTACATGACTCTTATTTTGAAGTTCAGAACGCTGACTTCCGGTTTCGGATCTTCGTCAGTTTATCTTCATGTAAATACTAAATAAACGGCTCACACTATATTAACTGCCAACGTTAATGCTCGTTATCTTGTTCTCTAACCCAAGGGCCCAACTTGTAAACTTTATTTGGCAGAAATACGGCACCTTTAACTTATTAACGGAAGCAGGTTAGGCAGTTAGCTAATCAGTTATGCGTTTGCTGGTAACTACGCTGGTGCTCTTTTAACACGGAGATGGGAAGGATTTTGTTTTGCTTACCAGAAGGAAGTTAAGAAGAAGGTTAGAGTTTCCCATCCATCTTCAATTTAGCATCTAGCTGGAAGGCGAACAGGTATGTTTATGAATGGTTTCTTGTTTACATTTATAAATATATTACTTATTTGTTAACAAGTTTCTGAGTGAACTAGCAGGCTAATGATAGCACATGCTTTGTCTTTTTTTTGGTTCATTTAGCAAAGGTGGAACATGTTATATGACGGGAATGTTGATTTTCTTGTTTGTTTATGTTATAATTACAGCTCTTAAGATGTGTCTATGGTAATTTCATGAATAAATGGGTTGGAATACCCCACCATGGTCCATCCGTCATGATCATTGAGTGCATCGTCTGAATAAAGTCCGGCTGGAATGCTACAGTAAGAGCTGCACCTGCATCATCCTGCTGCCACTCTGCTACACGGAACCACAAGGACAAGTCACGAAGCTGTGTTGCTACTCGACTGGTGTTGGTGACAGTCACTTCATCGAGCAACTTGGCATCATTTTCTGGGTCTTCTTCACGATCATCAGGCAGCTGGCTTAAAGGTGTGATGCGACGGTCAGACAAGGTATTGAACATTTATTTTAATTGACAAAGAAAGAACATCGATTCTCATCAGCGGTGGTCAAGGAACATTAGGACATCAACTTCTGTGGACACTTACTTTGTTGAAACACTACGGACATAAAGTATTTGCGAGTAAAGGAACTTGTTTTGTGGCATTTACCACTGCCACTGTTTATTTTTTATTCTATGTAAAAGAAAAAAAAGGAAAAAGGGTGTTTAATGTGTAACTGTACAGTCTTAATGGTGTATTGAATTGTGTTCAAAATAAGAGATTTACATTACCACATCAGTCAGCAACAAATAGTAGCTTACATTTATTATCTCATACATTTCATCTGAGCAGTGTGTTGGTTATCAGTTTCTGTTTTAGCTTGGCAAAAACTCTCTTATGTTAATGTAGTCTACAAGTCAGAGTGAACACAAGCAGCTCATTAACTAAGGTTTATTAAACAAAAAATATATGAAGGAGATGGAGAACCCCTCTTTACAAGCAGAGCTAGAGAATCAGATAGTCTGTCTGCAAAATGAAATCAGAAGACTTAAAGCGTCTCTTGAAAATACACTAGAAACTACTGAGATTGCTTCTTTAGAAAGGGAAATACAGAGCAAAGAAGAAACTCTAAATAGCTTACAAGGCAAACTTAAAGAAAGCCTCCGACGCTCAACTCGAACAAGATTACCGACTCCAAAAATGCTCGAAATGCAACAGGAAGAGGCAAAGAAAAAGGAAAGAAAGTTCATTACAACCTACGAAAGATGGAAGATTCGGGCCCGAGAGTCAAGAGAGCAACTCAAATCAGACATTAGTAAAGGTGAGCTGGCATCCTTGATGGACGCTTTGGAGAAGGAGAAAGAGGCTGTGTTAAACACTTACTTCGAATTGCGAATTCACATTACACCTTCTCCAGAATTAAGACGTCACGTTGACAGTTGTGATGCAGTTACAGCCGAAATTATGAAAGTTACCTATGAGAGGATGTCAGACATTGATGGAGATTATGATGCAGACCAAGTAAAATGCCGTCTCAAGGAGCTACTTAAGAGCAGCTATGCACGCTCAATCTATGGATCTACTGCCTCTGGAGTAACAAGGTCAGTCTGCAGTCATGAAAGCATCAGTCTAACACTCAAACGAGTGGATGCAGCAGCAGAGCTAGCTGCTAAGGAGATTGAATTTGAAGGATTGCTGGAAGAAGAGCAACAAAGGGAAAAAATAGAGGAGCAACAGAGACAAATGGAAGTAGAAAAGCGCAGACTTGAACGCCTTCAAGCAGAAAATAACTTAAAGGCTGCCCGGGCCAGATTGCAAGTCTACAGCCAGGGAGCCTCACAGAAAGGCAGTCTCCATTCAGCCAACAGTTCAGTTGGAAGTCATCATGGCCCCCCTACTGTCAGCCATCCAGCTCCCGATGTCACGGCATCACCATCTGATATAAACGTGTTATCCCTCGCTCAAGCCCTACAAGACAGTATGGCACTAAACAGACTTCCAGTACCAGAGCCATCTGTTTTTAATGGCGATCCCATTCAATTCATTGAATGGAAAACTTCCTTCATGACACTTATAGACAAAAAGGCCATCTCCCCAGTAGACAAGCTTTATTATTTAAGGAAATATGTTGGCGGCCCAGCTCGTAAAACACTGGAAGGAATTTTCTATAGAAATGACAGCGACGCTTACAAGGATGCGTGGAACAAACTAGATAACAGATATGGCCAAACCTTCATTATACAGAGAGCCTTCAGGGATAAGCTTGCCGACTGGCCAAAGATCCAACCAAGGGATGCAGAAGGATTAAGAGACTTCTCAGATTTCTTGAACGCCTGTCAAGATGCGATGACACATGTGAAGAGTCTCGAAATTCTGAATGACTGTGAAGAGAATAAAAAGCTGGTCCTCAAACTACCAGAGTGGTTGGCATCTCACTGGAACAGGAAGGTTACTGAAGCCCTAAAGAACACTAAGGAATTCCCTAGTTTTAAAGACTTTGCCTCATTTATGGCTATGGAGGCAGAGATTGCTTGCAATCCCATCACCTCAGCCTATGCCCTCCGCAGCTCTGAGTCAAGCACTACAAAACAAAGCAGCAGGGAACCTAAGAGGAACAAGGCAAGCGTTCTGAACACTCAGGCTGAGACAGAGAGCGAGAAGCTGAAGCCAGTTAAAGGAGAAGAAAGGCCCCCATGTGCCTTCTGTCAAAACAATCAGCACAGACTACATGCATGTCCCAAGTTTATCACTAAAACGCTGAAAGACAGACGAGAGTTTGTCAAGGAACATAATCTCTGCTATGGCTGCACCAAACCCGGACATAGTGCAAAGGACTGCAGACATCGACATTCATGCAACACATGCAAGGGTAAACATCCCACTTGTTTACACGATAACAATTATGTAAAGAAGGAAATGGTCCCGCCACAGGAGACCGCTATTCCAAGCAACGATGTCCAGACTGAGGCTGCTGCAACCTCAATGTCAGTGAATACTGGACAGTCAACCAACACGTCAATGATTGTGCCTGTATGGGTGTCAACAAATGATACAGGAGCAGAAAAATTAGTTTACGCCCTGCTGGACACACAAAGCGACACAACATTTGTTGATCAGGAACTGAGCATTGCTCTAAAGGCAGAGTCCTGTCCAGTCAAACTGAGGTTAACGACTATGATCGGACGTGACACGATCGTAAAAAGCCAAAGGGTTTCTGGTCTTCGTGTGCGAGGTTATCGCTCCTCTCTCCTCATTGATCTTCCTCCCGCTTATACCAAAGATTGTATACCAGTAAACAGAGACCATATCCCAACATGCGAAACAGCCAAAAAATGGAATCATCTCTCCAAAATTGTACAGGAGATGCCACCTTTGCAGGATTGTGAGGTTGGTCTATTGATAGGATATAATTGTGCACGGGCAATGGCACCAAGAGACGTAATATCCGGAAGAAACGAAGAGCCTTATGCAGTTCGTACCGACTTAGGATGGAGCATAGTTGGTGGTTTGTCACCATGCCTGTATGCTTCAAGTACAGTAGGACAGTGCTTTAGGGTTGCAGTCAAGGAGATCCCTTCAGTCACCCCAGCCGATGCCATTCGTATTCTGGAGTCTGACTTTGAGGATGCAAAGGAAGATAGAAAACCAGTGTCACAGGATGAGATCCTGTTCCTGGACAAAATGAAGAACAACATTAAAAGGAACAGTCAAGGTCATTACGAGATGCCGCTACCCTTTAAGGAGAGGCCTACCTTACCTGACAACAAACAGCTTGACATCATGCGTTTGAGCCATCTAAAGAGGAAACTGTTAAGGGATGAAAGGTACAAGGAACAGTATGTCAAGTTCATGGAGGAGGTCATAGAGAAAGGTGATGCAGAGGAGGTCCATGATGAAGGGAAGGAGGGAGAGAAATGGTACATACCACATCATGGTGTATATCATGCCAAGAAGCCAGATAAACTGCGCATAGTATTCGACTGTTCTGCCAAGTACAAGGGAAACAGTCTAAACGATCATCTGCTCACTGGTCCAGACCTGATGAACAATCTCAATGGTGTTGTCCTTCGCTTCCGGCTGCATTCTACCGCATTGATGTGTGATATTGAAAAAATGTTTCATCAATTTCACGTGAGGAACTCGGACCAGGATTATCTGCGCTTCCTTTGGTGGAAGAAAGGAGATCTCAGTGCACAGCCCCAAGAATACCGGATGAGGGTTCATATCTTTGGTGCAGCCTCATCGCCTGGCTGTGCAAACTATGGCTTGAAGCACCTGGCCACAGAACACAAAGACCTATACCCAGTAGGTTCTCAGTTCATCATGAAAGATTTTTATGTCGATGATGGGATCACAAGTACAGATGGCTCAGACAAGGCTATTCAGTTGGCGGAAGAAGCCAGAAGACTTTGTGCCCTAGGTGGTCTTAGGCTTCACAAATTTGTGTCCAATGACAGAGCAGTTTTG